TCAGGACGACGTCCAATGTATGTAAGTGCTCGGCGGTAGTTCGTCCAGTAATTAAAATGTCACTAAGTACGCGCAGGTGTTTGCTATATCTTTCACGAGTGAGTAAATAATACGTTGAAAAATAGATGGAGCCGAGCTTATTCCAAAAGGCACGCGTATATAGCGGAATAATGCGAAATGAGTATTAATGGTGGTGTACGTGCGTGATTCCTCATCGAGTTTAATTTGTTGGTAGGCATGACTCAGATCTAATTTGTAAATAGATCACCACAGGAAAGGGAAGCGTAAAGGTCTACAATCTTTGGTAGCGGATATCGGTCTAATTCTAACGCTTGGTTTACCGTAACCTTGTAATTCCCGCAGATTCTTATCGTACCATCGCTCTTCAATACTGGCACAATGGGGGCTGCCCAGTCTGAACACTGGACGGGTTCAGCGGTACCTTCCAACTGGAGTCGGCGCAGTTCACTTTCGACCTTATCCTGGAGGGCATAGGGAACAGTGCAAGCTTTCCGGAACCGCGGTTTTGTCTGTGGTCCTCCGTAGTTCCAGCTAATTGCAGTGTTTTACAGGGAGCTATCCAATCTCCCTTTCCCTTCTCTGCTCAGGTCGAAAGTTTCCCTATCCCATCAGACTTCACAAGCTGTAGATATAAGGATGACGTCATTCTGGGTTAGATAACCCCTTTCATTGAGGATTCTTTTAAACTTCAACAACGGTTAGACGAACAAGTGACTTGGTCGAGCTCCTGGCCCATCTCTCCCAATCCTTCCAAGTATTGTGATGTAATGTCCTCTTTTCTACTTCCCAAATGATTGCAAGCCTTTGTACAGATCCCCCTCCCAAGATGAGCTGAATATACCTGGTTTCACTACAGTAAAATATCTCGGAGTTTAACTTTGTTATAATTTATCTTGGTCTAAACATATTCTTGAAACATTTGTAATGTAATGTAATCTCAACAGCCTAGTAACTAGACATAGAGCCAACAAAGCCATGGAGATTAGCAGATAATAAGCCGTCATAGCGTCATAATCTTCGTGGCGTGATAGTTGAAGGTGAGCAACACACTTCAGCTAATATGCCGCAGAAAGAAAGGAACATGTTGACAAAAAGTAGAACAAAACATTTTTAGTTTGTCTTTCACACGCCGATTTTGCTCTTTTTTGTCATTTTCAATGTTTTCAGTATTAAACATGTGAACCAATACAGTGCTGTACACAATGCTTCCACTGATTCCGGTTGCGGGCCATGTCTTCAAGAGTGCTAAGCCATTGGCACTCTTCATCTTTGGGTCCCCATCCTGGAAGACGTACGGATCCAACAGCCACCAGACACGACGTCAGCGATTTCATGTGCTGCCGCCAAGTGGAAGGCTGACCACCACGCGGTCGCTTCCAGTCAGGTCCTTGACGAGCGAATAGAGCGCGAAGCGGTAGACGCTCGGGTACCATGCGTAGCACGTGACCGAGCCATCTTAACTGGCGCAACAAAACCAGGTTGTTGAAGCGAATACTCGCATTCCCCAAGATGCCGAACTACCTCCTCGTGGTGCCAGCTGGGTGGTTCGGGTGTACCTCGTTCCAGCAAAGTGTTCGGCGACAATGTTCCACCTCCGTTAGGCATTGTATTCCAGCAGGTGTGCTGACTTCATGGGGAGTATTGGGCCCCTGTTTGGTAATCTACCAAACAAAGGCGCATGAGCTGATCATTCAGTCAACGCCTCCCAATGGGCGCGATTCCCTAAATTCGCCCCGCTGCCTTGTGGGTAGGTTACTTAGCCAAAGGCTCGGGGTGGAGTCCTCTATGTCAACTCCCTACTTCGGCTTGGGCAACCGGGTAGTATCACGCCCTCTCGCAAAACCATGGACTGTACTACAACGTGCTCATCAGCTACTGCTTCTGCTAGTCACTTTCACGCGACTTCATCACACGCCAATTGTTTGTTTGCTAACAATCCTCACTTGAAACATTTAAAATACTTAGAAGGCTTTCTTTTCACTCCCTAAGACTTAAAATGCTTTCCGTTCGCGTGCTTTAATTCTAAAGTTTATAAGTGTATATACTCTCCCCCACTGGTTATACTGTTCTCCTGTGATTTTCTCTGGACTGCTCCAAGAAGATTATGTCCTTCCTGTCCGTTTACTAACATTTATCCCTCGCTGCTGCGATTTAGGGAAACGCCCATTGATTTTAATGTTAACAAACATTTTGATTCATGCATTAAAGCTTTATCCAAGATTTTGATGATCCTCTTACCATTTACACATTGTTCTTCTTCTACACGGTCAAAATTTAATGTTTCATATTCTCGTACCTCGTCGTAGCGAAACTTCATCCTGCCCTACTTATCACGCTTACTCATCGGAGATGAAACACGGATTTCGTGACCGAATGGTTAATTGAAGATGCAAATTTTCGTTTTTTGCTGTCAATTGTTATTTCTTATTGATGCTTTGTTATATTATATTCCACAGTATTACTGAGAAAGTGTCGTAAGTGCACTCACATGGGTTGATATAGCCTAGTTTGGCTTGACTTAAACAATCGAGGTTGCAGATTCAACGGAGTCGCCCAAATTGGTCCATGAGAATCCTACCACTCGATCAAAGTATGTAAGGAAACAGATTCAAGCAACATCCGAAGCAGACATGAACAAGTCTCGTGATGTGACGTGGTTAAATAAAAGGTAAAGCTGGTTCGGCAGCGAAGTTTTATTGGGGGTTGGAAAAACTACAAAATGGCCCACTGAGTCGAAATCTATATACCATATATCGACGACGCACTCGTACTTTGCAAATCGGAAAAGCAAGCCATGTAGTTGCTGGGAGTCTTTAACGACACATACGCATATGCTACCGCACGTACAGTTAAACTAGACAACGCAGGGGGCTGTGACTTGAGGGAGCGGTTTATCTAGGTTGGATTGGTGCAGTGACTTTCTGATTTGGTGTAATAGCACTAGCTCAGATACCTAATAACACCTATATATGGATTGCCGTAGTCGGTGGCAGAACCTCTTACCAGTTAGTTCGCCTTTGAGAGGTAGTGTGATGAAAACCTTCATCTTTCGGGGATTTTTCTGCCCATACCTTGCTATAAAATTACTAGGGTACCCTTTATCGCGTAGTGTGGATACAATGCGCTGCAGTTCACTAGTGACAGACTCTTCGGAACAGATTCGGCGAGCTCTTGTGAAGCAGGTGCGAAACAAGAACCGTTGATAGTTCATCGGGCAGTAACTGTTAAAGTTTACATACTGCCATGTCCAGCTGGGTTTGTGATAAATCAACCGTATTAGCGATCTATTGGGTCTTCCCTTTAAGGAAACATCCAATAAGTGAAACCTCCCATGACTCTTTCCATGGTGAAACTGATCTCCGGATGATATTAGTTTAATTCGTTCAACATGTTCTCTGCTTTCCGTGCAGTATCGACGACTACAAAAGTGTCGTCTACATACCGGGCATAAAACTGTGCCTTTTCTATGATTCGTCGTAGCTGCTTATTTTCTAAATGACCCATGAAGATATCAACCAGAGTAGGTCCAAGAGGGGTGCCATCGCTACCCCTCCGATTTGCCGGTAGAGGTTACAATCAAAGCTAAAGTGAACATCCTTGGTGCATATGCGGAGTAGGGCTTTTAAACGGTATGCTGGAAAACCCACCTTGCTCGCATGTGTACCTATGAGAATCAATGGCTCCTCCAGAAGGACATTTGTGAACAGTAAACATATGTCGAAATATACCATGCATTTGTCATTCATATTTAGTTTCTGAACCATGTCAACAAATTCAAATGTCTTGCAAAATATACACAGCCAACTCAGATCTGAATTCAGCCTATCTCGCGAAATGCCAGTTGTTCTTGTTTGCTTGAAATTTCCCAAGGGAATTGGTTGCATAAAGTGTTTCCATGCATTTTTTACCATTCAAGGGTGATGTACTCCCTGATGTGTTATCTCGACGTATAAAAGACGCTATTGTGAAGCCATATCCCGCAGCCGGTTTGAAAATGGTTTAACAATAAGCCACTGCTAGCAAGGCATCTGGAAGATAAACTACCCTCGCTGGCTCGATCAATGCTTATGTATCAATACTCGTGCGCATGTGGTACACGATATGTCGGTCGCACTTCGAGGCATTTATCCTAGAAAATCAGCGAGCATCTACCAATGTGGTTCTACAGGGTGAAGTGGTCTTCTAATAGCTCGATTTGGTCACATCTTGAATACAGCCATGCAGCAACAGAGAACGAAATCAAAGTGATCTATTCATTGCTTGAACGCTACTCACGATGCTTCCGCAAACAAATGCTACCTAGTGCCGAGGCCGTATACCTTTGCCATTTTAGGCCTAAGCTGTGTGTTCAAAAAATATGTCGGCCTATTTAATTCCCGTAGCCAACGGGCACCGTTACGTAACTATTTGATTATCATTCCCGTTATCTTCCTTTTCGAGTGATTAGTATCTACTATTCCGTTGGTTGACTGGGGATCTTATCTGTAGCTGACTTAAAGTCATTGAATCGATCGTTCAAATTGCGTGTGATCAATATTTAGCTCGTTACGGCACTTGCACACCTAATCCATCATGTAAACGTAAAGGTCTGATGAGATTTTACCCACAATTCGATTTCTGGTTTTAATTATGAACAGTGAAATGATAATATTTGGTCTGCTGAAGCGTAGCATATCCCGTGATTCACTCAAAGAGACTAAGGTTCCTAACCTCATAAGCTTCCCGCAACGATGATTCCGCACTGATATCGGGTACACTAACGAACCACGATATCTGCACCGTCTCTAGCATCAAGTATGCAAAAGAACCCGGAAGACGAGGTTGACAATAACATCACCCGCGTCTGAACAGCAAGCCAGTTACCACAAGGAAGGGCGTAACTTGCATGGAAAAACAAGTCTAGAGTGACAGTCCTTAAAGACCACATAAAGACCTTATCGAGCGTCTATTTCAAGACATGCTTAACAGTTGGAACTGACCTTAATAAGGGTTACTGCTTTGGCAAACAAGTCGAGGAGTTCGGCTGGTGCGGCAACACGCAACAGCACGGAGTTGGCTTGATCAAGAAGATCGGGGGTGAAAGACCGTTCATCAGTGACCACAGCGCGGCGGAAAGCTTGCGCTGAGTCGGAAGACATGAGATCATCTAAAAAAGGGAACATGGGACACCGTGGCGGATTAGTGGTTTCGTAAACGTCACATCAAATGAATGTATTAAACTACGATTTGCACAACACGTGAAAAGTGTATAGTTGCAAAACGTGCGAGTTCTATATAGGGCAAGTGGAAGCAATCCTGAAAAAGACAAGGATTGATGCAATATCAATAAGGGCCCAAATGAGAATCGGGAAAGCGATTAAACAGATGGCAGCGAAATATAAAAGGAATAAGGTACGAGAGGTGAGATTCACTGTGTCATAGAAATACTTGAGACAACTGGACAGCGAAAGGATACAAACGGTGAAAGCGGGGAGGGGAGGACAAAGAGATGGGTCTGACGAGCGCAGAAGTACAGAAATCAGCTGAACGAAAATGCATCCCACTGCACTCGGAGTTCCCACATTGCCCCGATTGATGACGTCTCTAATTCGTTGTATTGTGGACATCAAATATATTAACTAACATGGTGTCATTTAAGAAGTCGCTGAGCTCGTGTCAGGCATATATGATTGGTGGCATCCGGTTCCAGACGTGCCTGCCACGGAGGTCCCCATGGCGCAGCTACAGGACACCTGCGCCTAAGAAAAGACTATGGGTGGTTTGCGCTGCACCACTCACAGCTCCATCCACACACCACATAACCAGTGTAAACCCGAAGGAATAAGATCGAGGGGAATGTGGATGTGTCATGTCTCCTCAACGGAGCCGGCCCCCAACCCTTGAAAATGCGTATAAGTAGCATTCCTGTATATATCTGTGGAGAATCGTGCGTACTAGACGTACATAAGGCGGTGGCTGGACCGTAGTCCGCTGGGCCACAAGGACAGCGCACCCCATCCGCCCAGCAACAATTCAGTCTACTGGACCAAGAAATTGAGATGGAGAGCGTTAGACAGGTAGGCACCTCGATAGCATGCACATAAACCGCAGCCACACCGGGGATCTCAAACAATCTACATATAATTTAAGGGAAACTAAACACGCAAAATGGACACTGAAGATGCAGCAGAATAACAGAATTGAACAAACCAAATAAAGTGGAGTGCCTTGTATCCAGATTAAAATGGCGTACATTAAGTGAAAGTTGGTTTAGCTCAACTGCGGTAAAGAAGCATCGTGAAGACATCAACCTCAGCAGGAGGCATATATATATATATATATATATATATATATATATATATATATATATATATTCCACATACTACGGTTGATGTAGTATGCATCATGCTTCTTCACCGCTATTGGGATATAACTACTTAAAATAACACGAAAACTAGGTCTTCATCGGAATAAAAGGTGTGTCACTTTAGTTGGGTTACTCAATTCTGTTGTTTTATTGTATATCCCGTGTATATTTTGCGTGTTTCTTATCTTTCATATCATATGTTTGTTGTTTAATATCCCCGGTGTAGCTGCACTTTACGTGAATGCTGACAGTGCTTACCTTCCGAAAAACCGCTACATCTATTATACTGGATATAGGAAACAGTTGGTCGTTGCTAAAGGGGAAGGGGTGCACCGTCCACGTGGCCGTGCTAGGCCCATAGAGTGGTTCCATCCAATGGAGCGGACTACGATCCAGCCACCACCTTATGTACGTCTGGCTGGCTTACCGATCAACCTCCTCGTGGTGTCAGCTGGGAGGTTCGGGTTTTTCAAGTTTCAGCAAATGGTTCGGCGGCAGTGTTCCAGGACGTGGTGGGTTTTCGCCTGGCAAGCGTTCTCCCTATGAAAAGCCACATATGTCCGTTTAACAACACTGCGACGTGGCGGATGTGAGTCGCCACTAAATAAAGTCACTGCCCCTAGCCCCTCCCTGAGAGGCATTGTACTTTAAGGGTGCGTTGGGCTCCTGGTCCTTAACGGACCGAAAGGCGCATGAACCATCTAGTTGATCAACGGCCCCCAACGGGTTGCGACGCCCTCACATTGCCCTGCTGCCTGGTAGGTTAGTTCTTTCGTCCAAGGCTCGGAGTATGGCCCCCTAAGACAACCCTCTACTTCGGCATGGGCAACTGGGTAATATCACGCCCACTGACGAATCATGGACCACACTGCTTACTACTGCTCCTGTTATGACTATCTTCTGTGCTAACTCAAATGATCAACCTCCACTCACAGATCACCCCACCTCCCGTCCTTTACCTATATGTACTCTTACGTCTTCTTCCGTCACCGTCACAAACGACCCACGTGTCGCAACTGACAGAAGTAACAGCCAAACTCCCGGTTTTCAATCTCCTGCGATCGCAACCGCCACTCACTTCACCGAAGCTCCAGCTGTTCTTCGACCTGGTTCTCCATTCATCCTCGCAGCGTTTAATACTCGAACTTTGATGCAGATCGGACGACAGGCATGTCTGACCCGTACTCTTGAAACACTTTCGGTAGACATGTGTTGCCTTTCAGCAACCAGATAACAAGACTCTAGCGCCGTCATCATAATGCCTTCTCCGGTAAACCCTGACGCCAAATACCAATTGCGGCTTTCCGGAGCCTCAGAAGCTGCCGGCAAGTTGGTGTTGGGGTGGCACTGAGTGTCAGGGATGAATCAGCTCTGCTTGACTGCTTGACAGTCAGCAGTCGGCTATGTGCAGTCAGACTATGAGGTTCATGTAACGTAAGCAGGCGTCGAGACGTTAAGCGTGCCTTGTTTGTCGTCTCTGCCTACGCCTCTACAGACCGCAGCCCGGATGCAGTTAAAGATAGCTTTTACCAGCAGCTACATGAACTGCTGCGTTCCTCCAAAAGGACTGATATAGTCATTCTTGCCGGTGACTTTAACGCACGGGTCGTCCGCCTTTCACCAAGCGAGCACCACCTTGGGGGTAGTTTTGGTCTCGGTGGCAGTCGATCAGACAATGGAGACAGAGTGCTTGCTCTTTGCTCTGATTATCGCTTGTATCTTTCGAGCACTAGTTTTCGGCACTCGAAGAGACACACTGCTACCTGGCGCCCGCCCTCACAAACACAAGAGTGTTCCCAGCTTGACCACATAGCAATCAGCTACAGATGGCGCGGAAGCGTAACGGACTGCCGATCCTACTGGTCAACTTGTCTAGACTCCGATCACGCACTGGTTCATGCTAAGATTTGCATGCGTTTCGGAGGATCACCCAAGCGCGCTCACTACCGACTGGACGTCGCAAATCTACAAAGCCGTGCGATTTTAACCAGGTACCAAGCCTCACTGTCAACCTTGCTTGGCTCAACTATTGACGGTGATCTCGATTCGCAGTGGACGCATATCAAAGATGCCTTAGTTTCCGCCAGTATCGACACTTGTGGAGTTGCTCGTCACCCACCGAAGCATTGGATTTCCGCCGTCTCCTTGTCGCTGATGGTCAAACGCCGATTGATCCCGTCGGATTCCAGACACAGTGAAGAACTATGGTGGATGTTTGTGAACAGTGAAGAACGCCAATACCTTGGTTGAGAGTTACGCAGGAGTCTGCAAATGGACCGCGAAGCTTGGTGGTGTGAACGTGCTAAGGAGATGGAGCTAGCTAGTCTCTCTGGTAATACCAGAAAACTCTTCCATCTCATTCCAGTCACCGAATGTGTTCGATATGGTATAAGTGAAACAGTATGTGAAGAGAAAGGCACCTTAATCACCAATCTTCAACGACGGTTGGAGCGATGGGCCGAACATTTTGGCTCACAGTTTTGTTGGCCCCCAGCTCCATCTGCTATCTCTAGCGCTCGCGCTGGGGCCGAGTGTTCTACCCCCACAGGTCCTCCTTCTTATCAGGAACTCGAGCACGAGATCCGGCACATGAAGCGTTAAAAGCCCCCGGCTCTGATGGTCTTCCTCCAGCTCTATTTAAAGATGGTGGCGCTTCGCTGGTTCGAGAACTCACCGCTTTGTTCTCGAAAATTTGGTCGAAAGTGAAAGTTCCGTCATAGGGTGAATCGATAGTCATCCCCATCTTCAAAAAGGGCCTGCGCACAATCTGCTCCAACTACAGAGGCATAAGCTTAGTCCCCGTCGTTTGTAAGCGGCTGGTGTCCATCATACTTCAAAAGCTATCCCCAACGCGCGAATCGTTGCAGCGAGAAGAACAAGCTGGGTTGCGCCCTGGTCGCGGCTGCATCGATCAAATCTTCACACTCCGTCAGATCCTCGAGCTCCGCCATGTGCATCAGAGGCCAACGATTGCTGTGTTCCTGGATATCCGTGCAGCCTTCGATTCTGTCGATCGTACAGTACTGTGGCACTGCCTACTGAGGAATGGGGTCCCGAGAAGTTCGTCTCCACACTGCACGCTCTCTATAGTCTGACCTCGGGCAGGGTTACGGCTTATGGCAAGCTTTCGCCTACCTTTGTGGTCTCCAGTGGAATTCGACAAGGATATCCTATCTCTCCATTCCTATTCAACTTTGCCATTGAGGATGTCCCGAAGAACGCTCTGAGCGATTCGCTGAACGCTGGCGTTGAGCTCCTCCCAGGTAGTCGAGTTGTTGATTTGGATTATGCTGATGATATCGTCTTGCTGGGTGACGATCCACACGTCGTCCAACTTGCTCTAAACCGCTTGGTGATTGAAGCATCAAAGTATGGTATGTACTTTTCGCCATCCAAATACAAGGCTCTCTTCCAAGACTGGCAGGTACCTCTGCCTGCACTCACTGTTCGTGGTGAGACACTAGAGGTTATGGAGAGCTTTGTTTACTTGGGAAGTTGCATCACTGCTGGCGAGGCTGTTGGATACGAGATTTCTATGCGCAGCTCGAGAGTACGCCTCGCTTTTGATAGGCTGAGGCACTTGTTGTGTCGCCATGACATTCGTCTCTCCATCAAAGGGCGGGACTATTGTGCAACTGTTCGTGCTGTACTGTTGTACGGATGCGAGACCTGGCCCATTTGTAAAGATGACTTACGCAGGCTACCCGTCTTCGAGCACCGCTGTCTGCGGTCCATTGCCCGTGTGTGGTGTCAGCACCACATAAGCAATGTGGAAGTTAGACAGCGCGTCTTGGGACGTG